TCAATGGAGACCCTAGAGGGGGAGTGAGAATGACAAGGGACAAGAGACACGAGAGATGGAGACAAGACAGGTTTCTGATTAAGTCTCGTTTATTGTGGAAGCTGCTACAGCATATGTACCGTAGGGCTAGAGGGGAGGAGCAAGGCGAGGGTACTGGGGCTATTTCCTTGTTGCCGGGTAGACTTGCAGCAGGCCCAGACATGTCCGTAAAAGGCACTCAAGAGTTCTAGCGGGGCGGGGGGGCAAGGCCCCCCACAGTCGTGGTCTCCGTCGCGGGGCTTCCAGCGCCTCCCACCCGACCCGCAGGAGAACCGTGGTGTCAGCGCAAGTGCGCCTCGGACCCAGCTCCTACACATCTCCACACAGCCCTCTAGGGGGCGGCAGGGATGCACTGAAAACAATTGTTCTAACGCGAGATCCGAGGGTAGAGCCGCGAGATGAACATTTGTCAGAAGAAAAACTCACCCAGGGTTCGTGCTTGCCGGCCCCATGGTGTAATGGTTAGCACTCTGGACTTTGAATCCAGCGATCCGAGTTCAAATCTCGGTGGGACCTTGCTGACATTTTTCCACTTTTCCTTCAAAACCCACGCGTCCCGCTCTAATCCAGCCGCACACGCCCGCAGCCCCGTCACCATCCCGGCCCCGAGGCTGGCGGCGAGGTATGCATAGATTCCCCCGGCTAGGGGGAAAGAATGTATTTGTTTTAAAATCCCGTTTTTTGGAAGAATGTTCACATTGTGTGTGCTATGACTCGAGATCAGGTGTGGCGCTTTGCTTCAAACTGCTGGTAGCAACCCAGGGCACGCACCCCTGAGGTCCCAGCGCCAGGCCTCACCTTTCTCGGGCATCTCCGCTCTCGGAACGGTTGCCCGAGCCCGCACGCATCTCCCCTGGTCACCATTCCTGCCACACTGTAGGCAGCACCCCAGAAAGGTAAAGTTATTGCACTGATTCATTTTGCCCTCTCGTCACTGTCTTCTCCGGAACACTCCCTCCTCCTCCCCGAGTCCCCGATCTCCATCACTGACTTAGACCTCCGGTTCTTTTCCTGACCTGGGCTCGGGACCCCGTCTGTGTTCGCCCCACGCCCTAAACCCCTGCCCACACCGCCTCATGTGTCCACTGCTCGTTCAGTAAGCTCCCTGTCTACACACCGAGCTCTCTGGGGTGCGGGGACCCTGGGTCCCGGCCGCCTTGCCGGTCTGGGCCCCGCCTTGCCTGGCGCCCGCGGACGCTTTCTGAGCGCACGAACCGGCCCGAGCGAAGGACAGCTCGTGCCCGCGTCTAGTTCAAATCCTTGTCCTCTGCTTCTTTCTGGATTATTTTCACTCTTTCCTTCAGGGACTGCAAGTCTACATCACCCAAAGAGCAAGTCTTTGCCAGAGACTGCAGCAGAGGTCTTCGAGGAGGCGGATCTCGGCTGTGCCTCGTCCTGGGGAGTCTGCTGCGTACCCGCAGGCCGGGAGGGAAGGATGCGATCGGACTGCGCGCTTTGCCCCCGGGGAAGGAAGGCTCCTTTGGCTCCACCGAGGCCCGCGGTCCTGCGGGGCCCTGCGCCCGGGCTCTGTTTTCCCGCCGCTGTGGGAAGCCGCACGACGCGGGTCTGCCTCTGGGTGGCGCCAACCACGCGCTCGCAATCGAGTGGGAGGTTTCGGAGGGCGGCGGGTCCGAGGACTTCCGCCGGGCCTTCCCGCGCCTCCTCCCTCCCGTGCACCTTCTCCGGTCTGCCGGGGTTTGGCGCTCGGGCCTTCCCGTAGACCAGTCTGACCCAGCCCCGAGGGTTTACTGCCCTCCCCGTGGACTCCTGGAATTGGGGCCTTTGCAATCAGGTTTGCAGCGAGCGTGGTTAGGGGCGGGGGCGCGGCCGTCCGCCGGTCGGCGCTGGGTCCTCCGGCGGGAGATTCCGAACACGAACACGAGGAATCCGAAGCGCGGGGTAGGTCGTGGGCGAGACGCGACGCGGGGGCTGATTGTGCGCGTGTACGCGCGTGTACTTGAGTGTGTGCTCGCGCGTGTGCCTGTGTACACGTGTGCACTTGAGTCCCCACGCGGGTCCCCAGTGAACGCCCCTGAAGGGCGCGTGAGAGGCGGTGTCCTTTAGCGCTCCTCTGGGAGGGGGGGGTCCCCTTCCCGCCCCTGTGCCAGCGTCGCACCCAGGGCAGCCGGATCCTGCAGCCCAGTTCTCCAGGCACATTTACTTCAGGTTTCCGTAAACGCCAGCGTCTCCCCTGTGACTACGGTGAAATCTCTCCACCTGCGTCCTCCAAAGCCCCAAGTGCCCCTAGTGAGAGCTAGCTTTCGGGGGCGGAGGATTTGAGGCAGACGGGAGAAAAGGCCTCGGGTCCCTCGCCCTGGCGCGACGGTGGCGGCGGCGGCGCTGGCTTTGGCCGCTGTGAGGCCCGGGGACTGGGCAGGCCCAGAGCACCCGCCCCTGGGCCCACTGGGGGAGATAGGGGGACAGGGCGGGTCCTGCGCCTGCAGGTCGGCGTGGTGCTCAATTCTGCCCAGTGCGAAGGGTGTTCGGGCCTGCGGCCAGGTCGGCAAAGAATTTAGGGAAAGAAAGCAGGGGGAGGGCCCCGGGGCCCCAGGGCCTCATGGTGTAATAGCACTCTGGACTCTGAATCCAGTGATCCAAGTTCAAATCTCAATGGGACCTTGTACGGCTGTTTTGGTTCAGTTCCACCTCTCCACAAAGTGCTGGTGATCTGCCTGCCAGTCCTGGCAAGTTTTTATCTGCAGACAGGGCTGGGGACAGAGCTCGGTGGTACTGTGCCCGCTTAGCATGCAGGAGACCCTGGGCTCCGTGCCCGGCACTGATAATAATTAGTAATAATAAACTGTCTGTCTGCAGACTTATGAGCCAAATTGGAAGCAGACAAGGAATGCCTGCCCCTTTCACTAGGGATACATTCCCAACAAAATATTGTTTTTCTTAAGCTATACAAGTACTTATCAAAAATTAGTCACCTTTTATTGATTGTATACTACTGCATATTAAATTTGAAACCAGCTCAAATCAGAAGCCCTTAAAATACACATACTGGCCATAACTAAAAGTAATGTCTTGTTGTTTTTACACCCAGGCTAACCAATCACAGGCTTTAAGCATAAGCATGTAATACATTGGGGTAAAATCATATGCAGATATGGAATAGAAATACCGTTGAAAGAAAAGCATTCATGAATTTTTTCAACTGTTAAATATAACTATCGAAGTGTATTTTTAAAAGGTGTCAAATTACTTTTGGATCCCAAAGGACAGAATTCATTGAGAGTTCGAATGTTTTCTAATGTTCAAATGCTCTCATATGCTGGCAAATGTATTCTTTGGAACAACTGAAATTTGTGAAGAAGCCTTTTAGAAGACCATTGGAAAACAGTATGTGAGAACACGAAAGTGTGACAGTCCATAGAGTTTCTACAGAAGTGGACAGTGTGAGGGCATTGTTCTCAATCCATTCCATGCTGGAACAGAGCACAGCGCCTCCTCCTCAGCCCGGCTCAGGCCCCTGAGTTTCTACATTTCAAGCGCTTTTTCCTGTGAAGCTGTGGACATCTGCTGTGCATATTTAGTTTTTGCAGGCACTCTCTGAAGCATATTTTATCAAGCTTTTGTTGCTTTTTATTATGCAAAAGTTTCCAAATGAGTATGCTTTCTTCCAAATTATATTTTGTATTAAATCACTCATCTATCTGGAACTTGACTTCGGGTTTTAAAATCACCTTTGCCTATGAACTGAAATACTAGCTTTCCATGTGTACTTTATTCATTCTCCGACTTTATCTGTTTCTTTCTGCAGACATATGGCAATGCTGTCTTCTGACCGGACTTCTGTAATACACCTTAGAGCGCTAGATCATTTTCCCAGAGGAAAAATGTATTTGACATTTTGGGTCCCAGGGGAAGAAGCAGAGAAAGGACGCTGGAGATGCAAATTTTTCATTTCATGATTTCAATCTCACAAATATGAGTAGAGAAATCCAAGGAGCTGGGCTCCAGTCCCGGGACCATTCCTACAGTAACGCTGCCGGCACTGAGTAAGCTCCCGAGCGCCCCTTGGTGAATTAGGCAGGCTTCCTCAAGATCCAGAAAATAACAACAGGTCTCAAAAGGGCTTCATTTGTCCCAGATGTGTAGTGTGTGAAAGTCTTTCAACACCAAAGGTGAGATCTGCCCCTGAGGAAGTCGAGGCTGATTCACAAACGCGGCGCTCAAAAGACTGTGTGCCCTGCGCTTCGGCTGGCAGCAGCTTGGCAGAGGCCGTCTCTGCATGTCCTGGAGCCGTGGAGCCCACAGGCCTTCCCGGGACCCCACTGGCAGAGCGGGAACAGGGCAGCCAGGAGGGAGCTCGTGCCTGAAAGCGAAGGAGCTGGGTGCTGGTGGACGAGCTCTTCTCTGTTGGCCCTTGGTGGTGGTGATGACCTAGCACAGTGAGCAGGTCCCGCGTGCATCCTGCGACCTGTGTGTGAGGTCTCAAGAATGTCCGCCGTGGACACCGACGCTGGACAACTTCTGGTGCTGAGTGGGAGTGAGATGAGACCTCTGCCGTTAGCAGCCCAGGAGCACCGCTGAGCGCAGAGTGGAAGTGCGGGCTTTCTCCAGGGGCCAGGAATGCAGAGACCAGACCATTTTTCTCCGCAATGAATTCTATCCCATCTTCAGAACCAGGTCCCCCTCTTTTGGGGACACACAGGTAGAATGAGGGTTATTTGGGAACAACCAGAGCAGACAGGCTGCGGACAAAAGGTCAAACTCAGCCATCTTGGGTTCAGGTGCAAATCACAGGTGGTTCAAGGCCGCCTTCCCAGCACGGGCTTCTGACTCGCGTCCTGACCCGGGCACTGGGTTGCTCAGCGGGGCCTGCAGAGAACTCGGCCTCGGGACAGACCCTGCACTTGCGTCCTGCGGTGGAGGATGAGGGGTCCACTGCACAAGCCCTGAGCCCGTGTGCAAATGCCAGAGGGCAGCTGGGGTGGCGAGGCCCACAGGTGAAGGGCTGCGTCTCAGGGTGGGGAAGTGGGGCTGAGGGGCACTCGCCATGCTGTGGTGGGGATTGAGGACGATGCAGAGCTGGGCAGCTGTGCTTGAAGACCAGTGTGAGGACGGAGGGTGGACACTGAGCCCCTCTGCCTGGGCCTGCTCCTGTCCAGCAGGCTGCACTCACAGATCTGCTTTGGTCAAGGGCCTGCCCTCTCCTTGCATTAAATATCTGCCATTGACCCTGGAACTCTCCTCTCCCCATGGCTTAGAATTCATTATTGCCTTTAATTATATTAGCTTTCAATTTAGCCCCTGTCTAGCAGGATCTCTCGCTAGGACTCTCGACTCTCCCTGGTATAACAGCCGCATCCGCCTGCCTGGCATAACCTCACCCAGCCCTAAATCAGAGATGCCCCGCTCCTTTCCATGGGGAGCAGCACTTAGACACCAGTGCTGAGAGGCTCCGTGTGATAATTGCTCCTATGACACCCGCTTCTTGGTCTTTTTGATGGAAAGACCTAGGAAGTGCAGGTGTGTGTGCCCCTGTCACTGTCAGCGAGCACGGACACCACCTGCTCACAAGCACGTACATATCGTGGGACTCCGAGCTCATATCTAAACACCAAGTCCACCCCACCTTCATGGCGTTCTTCCCTGCATTCCCCCGTTCTGTATTTATGGGGCCCCCCACCCCTTCCATACCAAGACCTGGAGCTCCAACCACAGCAGCAGATTTCCTCACCTGCTCTGCCCTATGCAGAGGACTGTAATATCAATCATGCCCAAGGCAGGCTGTGAAGAGTTAGCACTGCAGTTGGCTAGTTTATAGAAGTGAGTCTGGCGGAAGGCTGTGAGCCGAGGTCAGAGTAACTCGCACCCAGAGTCTGTTCCCACAACTAAAACCTTCAGACTAGAAGGACAGTGTTCCAATTACAACCATATATTTGGTCCATTCTATTCCTAATTCGAGAATGCTTTGTCTTGTCCTTTATGAGCCTTGTTTACATTAATTTCCATAGAAACCACAGCCACCTTTACCCCATTTGATTACCAGTAAAAGTCAGTGCCTGGGACGGGCCAGGGCCTTTGTCGGTCGCACCGGCACCGGTCGTCCTGGCGCCCGCTTTCTCTCTCCTAGTTCTGTCTCTCAGTGTATTCTTTTTCTCAGGCCTGCATCACACACTGGGCAGGTGGGGACTGGAACCTGACTACAGGGGTCTCTGGCAGCCCTAGATTGCCCCTGCCATAGTTTCAGGATTGCTTTGCCCATCTATTACCGAAAAACATCCACTAAAAAGAAGTCGGCATTTGTTTACAGTTCTCCAGCCCCACCCACACCCCTCGACCCAGCATGAGGCAAACTGTGCTATACTCTGAGCACGGATCGTGTGCTTCCTCTTCATGTGTCGAAGGTGTGGAGTAGAACTGAGTTCCTTTGCCGTAGTTTGCTTTCAGTAGTTTTTTGTCAATTGAATACTAACTTTTGAAAATGTAGAACATTCACATGGCTTCAAAAGTTAAAGACAAAGCCAGGTGTGGTGGCACAAGCTTGTAAGGTTGAGGTTGAGCACTTCTGCGGCTGAGGCAGGAGGATCACACGTGAGTTGGAGGGCAGCCTGTGCTACATAGTGAGTTGAAGGCCTGCCTGTCTCAAAAACAAAACAAACCAAAAAGCTAAAGACATAGCAAAAAGTATACTCAAAGAAATGTGCTTCCCACAGCCCTCTTTTTTCAAAACTGCTACCATCTTTTTAGGTAACCAGCTTCAATATTTTCTGGTTTATCTTTGTTATATTTCCTTTTCAGAAAGAAAAAACAGGTAAAGTATAGTTTTTCTATTTTCCTTTCTTGGAAAAAATCCTGTAATATTCATCTCCCCCCCCCATCAATATCAACCAATGCCCTGTTTCTGGAATTTAAAGTTAGCTAAAAGGCTTGTAAGGGGTAAGGAGGCAAAATAAGGTGTAAAAGGCTTCAGGGACTTCCAAACAAGGTTATTTTCAATCGCAAAGTAAAAGAATAAAACAGTTCCATCTCGAGCACATTTGTATTAACGTGTTTCCTTTTGCTTTTTTGTACTGGAAATTCCCATTGCTTAGGGGAGTTTACATTTTCTTATCAAACTATAGACACCCATTAAAAAGTGATAGGTCTCCCACTACCCCAGGAGCTATTATGTATAGTAGCTGCCCCCTTCCTATCGTGCCTTGCCCCCTCCCCTGTGTGACGTCATGCCAAGATGGTTGCTCCCACCGAAGAATAAACCCTTCATCCCAGCATGCCCCTGTTCCCGCCTAGACAGTAACCTAATACTCGCTCACCTTCTACCACCTAGTGACCTCATGGGCTCCATTCCCTAGTCACTATCTCACTCAACCCCGCCTCAGCCCCTACAAACCCCACCCCAGTCTCCGTAAAAGACTCTCCCTGCCCCGGCCATATTGCTTTTGTCTCTGTTCAGAAACAGCTCGGCAGATCTATTCCCCTAATAAAGGCTTGTTGTGGCTTGGTCTCGTCTTGGTCTTCGGCCCTTTTACCTGACAAAAAGTATTCTGATTAGTAATGTTCTCTTAACTTCTTTGTACATATGTCTGTTAGACTTCCATTTTCTTTCTGAGTTTCTCCGTGGAATTCGGATGCACAAAGCATTCAAGTATTCCCATGTTCTCCACCACTGGCTTCATGTTTTTCTCATCGGGCTCGCAGTGTGGAGAGAAGAGGTTGAAAGGGTCTCCAGCCACGATAGCCAGCGTGCGGTAGAGGAGAATTCGCCCCAGAATTCGTGGCCGGGAACCGGAAGTGAATTCAGTAATACTGGAAGAGGAAGCAACACGGGAGAGAGTAGCGGGAGGCCCCACTGCAACAGATGGAAGAGATCCGCTGCTGGTAGCCAAGTCTCGAGCAAAAGCCTCCAGAGCGGAAGAAAACTACGAGGCGCCCTTCGCGTCCGGATGTATTCTACTCAGTAGGGTGGGCTGGTCTGTTAGATGTAAGGTGGGGTTGTCATCTTCTCTTCCCAGTGAAACTGGCCTCTCTGAAGTGGGTGAAGAGGGACTTACAAGAAGGGAAAAAGAAAAATGCCAAGAACGTTTCTAAAAGTGAAGTCCAGCCACAGAGATTCCAGATAAAACTTCAGTTCTCAAAACACAAACTAGCAGAGGATGGTTTCGATCCATCGACCTCTGGGTTATGGGCCCAGCACGCTTCCGCTGCGCCACTCTGCTGCTGACTGAGAGCCTTTGCTTTTCTCCTTTGTCTCGGAAAACGTCAGTTGTTTGCTCGCCTACGTGTCCCAGTCCCCGCCTCTCCGATCCAACGTCTCCCGGGGCCGGCCTCTTCCGGCGCAGCCAGACTCGCGGCAGGAGCTCCGCGCGTTCGTGTCTGGATCGATGACCGGTGGCGCGCGAGGAAACACCCAAGAAAGCTGTCAGGGCCAGATAGCCGCATCGGGCCGGAGGCCCTGCCGGGGACAGCGGCTGCTACCTCATGGGGTCAGCGCGGCGTGGTTAGTCTGAGTGCGCATGCGCACGGGGCAGCCCGCGCCTCCCGCCGGCCGGGAAGCGGCGGTGGCTGCAGAGGAAGAGCTGGGAAGGGTTCGGTCAGGATCCTGGGGAATCCAGGCCGCATCCCTGCGGCTCCGGGTCAGCGTTCTCCACCTCGCCGTCGCCTGCCTGTCCACCCCGTGGGTAGAGCCTACTCTGTGGCCCTGCCGCGTGCGGCTCGGTCACCGGGCCCAGGGCCAGGCGTCCGGACTTGGTCCGTCCTTGCTCGGTGCCTCCAGGGCGCCCCTCGTGCCTGGCGTTCCTCAGCGATAGAGGACGCTCCACTGTGCCTCCTATCTGGGCGTGGCGGGGCACACGGAGGCCCCTCCCACGCCGTGTTCTCCTACCCATAACTGCTGGCTTTAGTGACAAACCCTGGGCCTTGACCTGTTCAGATGGCATCCGGGCTCCTGAGCATGCGGAGTCTCGGTGGTGGCTGAGGCAGGGTGCTGCCCGGGAAGGCTGGTCACCCGCAGTGTGTGTCCACAGCAGTGAGGGCTCCTGCTGGCCGTGGGGCTGGGCAAAAGTCCCACAGTGTCCAGCTGCCAAGCTCGGTCCGCCCAGTTCTGGGGGATTGTCCCAGTTGTCCTCTTGGTGCACAAGCCTGGAGGTGACAAGACTCACTGTTTTTGATGGCAACAGCAGCTTCTGAGTACAGAAGAGTAATTCCTTGATCCCGGGACTGCTGGGCCGTGGTGGCTGTGCTGGTGCACCCAAATCCCAGATGAGGTGATTTGGGCAGCAGCTGCCACTTCCAAACACCTGGCATCTCCGATTCACACTGCAGGTTTGCCTTGCTGCTTGGCTCGAGGTTGTTCATGGACACACGGCTTCTCGGCCAGTCCACATGAGGGACAGGTACACTGGACTGGCGGCCAGTGTCTGCCAGACTGGAGCCCCAGACAGGGTGGGCTTAGTCCAATTGGCCAAGTGAAAGTGTTACTTTTTAGTAATGAAAGAACTTGAGAAAACTCCAAGTGTATAGTACGTGAATTCACAGAGCTTGTGGGCTAGGGGTTATTATGTTATAGGCATAGAGTTTCAGTGTAGGATGATTAAAAATTCCAGGAGATGGTTTGTGGTCATGGTTGCACAAAAATGTAAATATATTTAATGCTACTGAATTATATAATTAAAAATAGATAAGCTGATGTTATGGCTGTGTCTAGATGTCCCCCTAAAACATCATGTCATAGGTGGAGCTTTTCAGAGGTGGCTGGATCTAGGGTGTGTGATGGTGGGATTAAGGGTGTGTGATTACTAAATCAGCCCACTGATTGGTTTGGCACCACCTTAATCCCAGTATCCTAGAGAGAGTATAAAGGGGCCAGAAAGAAGCTGCCAACGTTGCTTGTTGGTTTTGTTGTCTTCTGTGTGCAGTGAACTGTTTCTCCTCTGGGTCACCCCTCTGCCATGTGCCACTCTGTTAATGTGTATTTTACCACAATAAAAAAGGAAGAAAATCAGCACACTTGTGCATGCGTGCACACACACACACACACTCACACACACACACACTGGAAACCTGGCCTAATCTGATATAGTCCTCTCCTTCATGTTTCTAAGTGGTAAAGAAAGCTTTTCTTCCCATAACAAACAGAGGAACACCTGAGACTAAGATGCAACATGTGAAGTAGCCTTCACGTGAATGTGCCACACAGCAAGAGAAGAGGTAAATTCGACTAAGAGCAAAGCTTGTGCTCAGGCAGGCAAGGAGGACAGCAGGACCCGATGGCTGCGAAGGGGGTGGTAGGACAGGGACCAGCGACACAGAAAGGGCGGTGTCCTGCATGCATTGAGGACCACGGAGTTGAAGCCGAGTTGCATTCACATGGGTTTTGGATTTCTGTGAGGGAGGAGCCACACTCAGGACAGCCCAGCAGTCAGCAGCCAAGGCAGGTGGGACCAGGACAGCTAGCAGTGGCTGGGCAAGTAGCGGGGAGAGGCGAGTGAGGGTGAGCAGAGAGATTCACAGTTGGGGGAAACTGAGTCCTAGCCAGGAAGAACCATGACTTACCTCACTGAGAAAAGGGGAGGAAACATGAATTGGCTATTGTGCCCTCCTGTTATTCATTTTTTTTCAAATTTTAGGAGAAAACAGATACTTTTCTAATTTTCCTGAAGGCTCTGTATTTGTGCCGTCAAGACCCAACAACCAACATTTGAAAATCCCCGCTGTGGCTGACATCTCCAGCCTGGCAGTGTCAGCTGGGTTCACTGCATTCTTATGAATGTTTCCTGGAACCTCACGAAGGCTCACTCATGAGGCAGGTGGTCAGTTCAGCCATCCTCAAGGAAACCAGGGAGAGGTGTGTCCTCCCTTGGACTCAGGGAGCACAGTGAAAGTGGGATTTGTGCACACACAGAGGAACTAGTTCCTTCCCAGGAATGACCAGAGGCTATCATTGTCCAAATCAGTGCGTGCTGGGGAACAGAATTCAGTTTTCTGTTATTAGCAAGGGAAGACATAGCCATGAAAAACACTTTAAGATGTCACAAGTAGTGTGCATGAAGTCCCTTCTCTATTCACTGGGCTTGGACAGAATTATTTCAGATTAAGGTGAGTACCAGAAGCACCCGTTAAGTTCAGGAGCAACAAAAGCAGAGACATCCTGGGCTGTGAGTCCCTACAAAGCTCCGTCCTGTGCCCTCCAGGGAGAGGGTTGGAGGTGGTGGTTGGTGACAGCTAAGGATGACGATGAGGACAAACACCTCTTTTCACACTGATGGTTCCTGCAGGAAGGCATTTTGACCATTACATTTGGTACAAATGCCTGGTTTTCCTGTTTCTTGTCTGTATTAGCCCTCCCAACCCAAACGTTTCAATCTCTAAAGAAAAAGAGAAAAGGCAATGTACAAGTAACCCTGAACACTGAATGTATTTTCAGTTTATTTGCAAAACAAAATCAGCCATACTCACGACATTAACACCAGGCCTAAATATCCTCTTCTACACTTACAGGATGAAGGCAACTTCATCATTGATAAAAGCATCGGGGGCTGGTGAGGAAGGGAAGAAAGCCCAGATGTCGACCTAGGCTGGTGAGGGTGAGGGAGTCTCTGATGTTATCCGGTTGACCAAAGCAACACTGAATGGTTATGAAAGGGCATATGGGGCAAAAGCACACAAGCTCTAGAATGTAGGGTTAAAGATCAGGGAAACACGGCTGGGGCAAAAGCATATAGGTACCAGGATGTACGGGTAAAGGTTTGAGAAGCTGCTAGATTCAGCCTATGTCCTTCCCCCTGCCCAATAAATTGCTCATATCAACCTGAACAATGTCACATAGCAGGCCTCCTCATTCCTTGACACAACTGCTTCTTGTAATGTAAATAAAAGCCAGAGTTCTTGGATTGGCAGTGCTTCTTGAAGACCTCCTCCTTCTAGGGCTCTCTGCTTGGACTCAGTCCCATCTCTGAGTAATATGTTCATCCTCTGTGCTGCCACAGTCATACACTGCAACAATTATTCCCCATGATCTTCCTCTTTTCATAATAAACAGGAGCT